GCACGTCGCGATGCGCGCGGCGATGAAAGACGGCGCGCGCGGCGCGTCGATGACCCCGCGCGGGATCGCCGCGCCGGTCCTCGGGGGCTGGTCCGCCGCGAGCGAAGGGTGCGTCGATGCGACGACCGCGCGCGCGCGCGCGCGATGCGGAAGGATGGAGGGTATATTCCCGCGTGGATTTTTGCGATTTTCTTGCGCGGAGACGGCGGCGCGTAGGAGAGAAAGGACGAACCCTGGAATGCGATCGGGACCGGGGCGAGCTCGATCGAAAGAATTTCGTGTGCGGTACATTGACTGACGATCGATGCGGGTTGTTTGACACGCGCGTAGGGTTCCGGCGAACGTGCGAACGATCTCGCTCCAAGCGGTGAAGATTCGAATGCGCTCGGTCGGGAACATCCAAAAGATCACCAAGGCGATGAAGATGGTCGCCGCGTCGAGGCTGAAGGGGGCGCAGACGAAGTGCGAAAAGTCGCGCGCGATGGTGAACCCGTTCGTTCGACTGCTTGGTGATACCCCGGGGGCGGAGACGGAGCAGACGTTGGTCGTTCCGGTATCCTCCGATAAGGGTTTGTGCGGTGGCATTAACACGGCGGTGGTGAAATACTCGCAAGTTTTGAACGCGATGACGCCGGGGGTGACGTATAACGTCATTGGCGACAAGGCTCGCGCGCAGTTGACGAGAATGATGCCGCAACAAATCAACAATGTCATCGTTGATACAACCAAGCAACCGCTCACATTTGCGACCGCATCTGCGATTGCGGACCAGGTCGTGGCGCGAAATGCGCCGAAGACGCACATCGTCTACAACCGCTTTGCGTCTGCGATTTCCTTCAAGCCCTCCGTCGCGACGCTCATGTCGAACGAGGAGCTCGAAAAGGCGGCGGAAGAGGGTGTCAACGAGTTCGACTCCTACGAGATTGAAGGTCCGGATCGTTCCGAATTCTTGCTCGATCTCTCTGAGTTCAAGGCTGGCGTGATGATGTACAACGCCATGTTGGAGAACAACACGTCGGAACTCGGTTCGAGAATGCAATCGATGGAGAATTCGAGTAAAAACGCGAGCGAGATGCTCGCCAAACTTACGTTGCTTTACAACCGTACTCGCCAAGCCGCGATTACGACGGAGCTCATCGAAATTATCTCTGGTGCCTCCTCCTTGGAATCCAAGGAGTAAGCGGCTGGGGAAGCTCGGTAGTAACAGGGCGGGTGTAGACGTAGTTCTTTTCAAATGTAACCAATAGCAAATCAATCAACGACCATGTCTTTCGTTATTTCATAAAAATTGTGTCGTATTTCACTATTTCCTGTATCGAGAAGTCAACTTTGTCTTGCGTGAAATCTCGCCTCTCAATCGTACAAATCGTCATCGTCGCCTCCAGCCGCGGCCGGGGCAGCGTTGCTCGTTCCGTTGGCCTGGCCAGTCGGGAATTGGAAATCTCCCCCGAAGCCGCGGGCTTGATGAAGCGTTTGGCTAAAGGTTTGATACTTGCGGATGTCGGCATCGGTGACAGACCTTCGAGCGTGCTTCATAGCCTCCTCGAAGTGAGCCTTCGTGATTTCAGGCACAGGATCGTCGGCCGTTTCATCCGTCATCGCATCCGGGTTCATCGCTGCGGCGCGTTCAGCCTCGATATCGCGAGCAATACTCTCACGGATGGCGTACTTGCACGCGCGCTGGCAGATTTCCGTGATGTCAGCGCCAGAGAATCCATTTGTAAACTTTGCCAAAACGTTAAGATCGACGTCAGCCGCGATCGGGGACTTGCGCAAGTTGGCCTTGAAGATACTCAAACGAGACGGTTCGTCCGGAAGAGGGATGTACACGAGTTGGTCAAGGCGACCCGGGCGCATCAAAGCGGTATCAATGATGTCCGGTCGGTTTGTCGCGCCGATGATGAAGACAGTCTTCTTCGAGCCCATGCCGTCCATTTCCGTAAGCAACTGGTTTAACACGCGATCAGCGGCCCCACCGGCGTCGCCTTGATTACCGCCACGCTGCGTGGCAATGGAATCGAGCTCATCGAAGAAGAGAACGCACGGTGCGCTTTGACGAGCCTTGTCAAAAATCTCACGCACATTAGCCTCGGATTCACCGAACCACATCGTCAACAGCTCTGGACCCTTAATACTGATGAAGTTGGCTTGGCACTCGTTGGCGATCGCTTTCGCGAGAAGTGTCTTACCGCAACCCGGCGGACCGTAGAAGAGAACACCCTTGGAAGGAGCCATGCCGAACTTCTCGAATTTCTCTGGGTGTTCAACAGGGTACTGCACAGTCTCTTGAAGCTCCTGCTTAACGGTCTCGAGACCGCCGATGTCGTCCCAAGACACGTTCGGCACTTCCACGACAGTCTCACGGAGCGCAGACGGGTTGGAAGTGGTCAAGGCCGTCGCGAAATGCTCGTTTGTGATGGCCATGGAGTCCAAAACGGCAGCGTCAATTTCCTCGTCTTCCAAGTCAATCAGATCCATCTTTTCACGAATGCACTGAAGCGCAGCCTCGGTAGAGAGCGCGGCGAGATCAGCGCCGACGTAACCGTGCGTTTCTTTGGAGATCTTTTCCAAGTCGACGGCTTCATCGAGCTTCATGTTCTTCGTGTGAATGCGCAACACCTCGAGGCGACCCACTTCATCTGGAACGCCAATGTCGATTTCACGATCGAAGCGACCGAAACGACGAAGAGCGGGATCGATGGAGTTTGGTCTGTTCGTGGCACCCATGACGATGATGTGCGAGCGCGACTTCATGCCGTCCATCAGAGTCAAAAGCTGGGATACGATGCGGCGCTCAACTTCGCCATTCGTCTTCTCACGCTTCGGAGCGATGGAGTCAATCTCGTCGATGAAAATGATCGCCGGCGCGTTCTTTTCCGCCTCTTCGAAGGCCTTACGCAAGTTAGATTCGGACTCACCTGCAAGCTTGGACATGATCTCGGGGCCGTTGATGAGAAAGAAGAAGGCACCGGTTTCGTTTGCCACCGCGCGAGCAATCAAAGTCTTCCCGCTTCCCGGAGGACCGTAAAGAAGAATACCCTTGGGAGGCTTGACCCCAATCGTCTTAAATAACGTCGGGTGTCTGAGCGGTAACTCAACGAGCTCGCGAATTTGGGCCATTTGCTTGCGCACGCCACCAACGTCGTCGTAACCGACGTCGTCGAGGCGTTCCTCGTCCTCGCGGTTGATTGGCTCACCTTCGCAGAAGATCTCTGTGTCCGGAGCAACGATGCAGTATTCCGCCGGGTCGGTTTCGACGACCTTGAACTCAACCGCGCGCATACCACCGCGAGCGAGGAAGGTGTCGCCCTTTCTCAACGGACGGTACGCCTCAAGAAAGTATGGCTTCAGGTACACGTCGAACAAGTTCCCTGAGACGCCCTCTATGGAATCACTGAACGGAAGCACGTGCACGCGCTTACCATATTTCACGTCCGTGCACTGCGTCCCGTCGACGATGCATCTCGGTCAGTCAAAAGTTCAGTCGCGCGCGTTTGCGTCAGATCGCGCGAGCGAATCTAGATTTCAAGAATCTCCCCGTTCCCTCGCCTCTCACGCACCTGATGCACGCTCACGACGTCCCCCAGTCGAACTCTCAAGTTCTTTCGCACAACCTTATTCATCCGAATCTTTCCCTCGTCGCACGTCTCGTCCGCCAGGACGATGCACACCGAGTCCTTTCGCTTTTTGCCCTTGAGCAAAACCGTGTCCCCTCGGAACAACTGCAGCTCCTCCATCTTTTGCAAGTTTAACGCGACGACGGAGTTATCATCGTTGATCGCCTCGTCTACGTCATCGCCGTCCACCGTCAGTCGTCGCGCTCGAACGAATCGCCCGGGGGAGTCGAAGACACGCATCAGATCTCGAGCTCATCGACGTCGACCGAGACGACATTGCGATCGCGACGCGCTCGCACGCACCGACGACGAGCCTGTTCGGGGCCTTTTTGCGCTCCAAGATGGCGGTGGAGAAATCCGATGGCTTGGTTTCGCGCTTCACGGCGACGTCGGCGTCGGCGTCGGCCATGACGAGCGAGTTTGTGCGGACGAGCGGGCGATCGAGCAACTGTAGAAGGGTCGAGATGGTTGGTCGCGGGGCGCGGAGGACGGCGGGCACGAGGGGATCGCAGAGGGCGTCACGCGGGCGAGTCGTCGTAAAGGACGGTGCATTATAAAAGAATGTATTGAAGACGGTCGAAGACGATCGGTGAGGGATCATCTCCCGGCGAGGGCGCGCCAGACGCGACCCTCGTCGCGCTTGGCGAGCGACACGCACACCTCGTCGGCGCCCATGGTCCAGGTGGATTCGTCGGGTCGGCAGGCGTTGTGGAGATCGTCGACGTCGCAAATGATCTCATCGTTTACCTTGACGATGAATCGTGAGGAGGAAAACTGGACGCGGACGGCTTTGGCGATCGTGCCTGGGGGGACGTCGACGTCCACGTCGACCTCGTCCTCGGTTTGGGACCAGCGGTAGTTGTCGCCGGCGCCGCGCGGCATGCCGTTCCCGCCGCTCGCGACCGCGTCATCACCCGACATATTGATTTTTTCCATGCCGCCGTTCTTGTTCATCGCGTCCTCGAGCTCCTTGAGTCCTTTGCTGTATTCGACGTTCTCCATCGTCGCCGCCCGCATCCACGTGGCGCTTGAGTCCAAATCCTTCAACTGAAAGTCAACGCTTCGCATCGGCTCCGGTTTCGTTTGCACTCGACCGATGAACATGTCGCCATAAAAGTTCACCCCATCGAAACCGCACTCTCGCGACAGCCCCTCCGCGCGCCTGTTCGGGGGTAAACCTTTCAACATGCCGACCTCGTCGAGGTACAGGTAGACTCCGCACCATCCGTTCGTCTCACTCGGTCTCACCAACGCGAACGTCTCCGTGGACCCTCCCTCGGTCTCTCGCACGATAGCCTCCTTGGAGATCCCCGCACCGCGCTCACCGAGCGACCGCACGGCCTCCGCCCGCGCTTTATCCGCGTCGACCTCTCCGCCGCCCGCGAAGCGTCGTCGCAACGCGTCCGGAAGCGCGTCCCCCGCCTGCGTCTCCCCGATCGTCAACGTCTCCTCCACGAACGCCTCGGCGTCATCGCACGGTATTCGTACGTACGTCACCGTCCGCGTCGCCTGTTCGCGCTCGACGCCGGCGCCGTTCGAGAGCGATTTCTCGCGCTCGCCTCGCGCGCGCGCGCGATCCTCCGGCGTCTCGATCTCCACCCCGCGCGCGCGTAACCACGCCACGCGCGCGTCTTCGTCGACGACGTCCTCGTCGTCGCGCGTCTCCGTCATCGCGCGAGGTCGTCGCGCGCTCGCCGGCGTGCGTCGACGCGTGCGGACGTCGCGCGACGCGGTGTCGGCACTCGTCCACGCGCGTCCGACGACGCATGTCGTTCGCGTGCGCGTCGCTCGCGCGCCGCGTCGACGCGAGAACGTCCGCGAACGCGCGCGTGGCGCTCCGCGCGCGTCGTGGCGCGCGAAGCGCGGGACGTACGCCCTCGAATCGGCCGCAAAAGACGCGTCTGCGGCTGAAAGCGAGCGACGATGACGTTCCAAAGATGCGCGCGGGCGAGCTGAAGCGCGTGTTGGTGGACGCCGTGCGTGTTCGACGACGCGCGATCGCGACGGCGCGATGGTGTGTTCTTCGCGCGCGCGATGACTGACCGCGAGCGCGTCGTTGGACGACGTAGGGGGTGGATGTGAGCGATTGTTTTGAGCGCGCCGACCTGGAGGCGAAGTACGTCGCGTGGATCGAGCGCGGCGGCGAGAGGGATTCGACGAAAACGACGTCGAGCGCGAGCGTGGAAGACGATGCGAGCGAAACAGACGGTGCGAAGCCGTTTGAGAGAGCGCGTAAGTGGTTCGACGAGCAGGTGGAAACGGCGCGGAAGAGTCTGAGCGCGGACGCGTTGTGGGCGAGCGCGAGGGAAACGGCGAACCGGCTGAATGCGAAGTACGGCGCCGGGGATAAGGCGAAGTCGGTGTTGGACGACGCGCGACGGATGGTGAAGAATGCGGATACAAAAATCGGTGCGACGAAGTGGTTCAAGAAGAACGTGCCCAAGGTGATGGATAAGTACGCAGAGGTGCGCGCGACGCCCGTGGGCAAGTTTGCAAACTTTATGTTTTACATCTGGCTTTTCACGAGTGGGGTCTTTTGGAATTTGTTCTATTTTGGGCTCATCGCGACCTTCTTGGTGAATCTGCTATATCCCTCGCTGATCACGGACCAGTTGGAGAACATGCAGAGAAGGGCGCAGGAGCGCGTGAACGCCATGGGCGGCATGGGGGGCACCGGGTACGACCCGCGCATGAGTGGCATGGGTGGTATGGGCTACGATCCGCGCACCAGGGGCATGGGTGGTATGGGCGGTAGCCCTGGGGGCGCCAGCGGCGGGAGGAAGTCGTACGGCGGCGGGAGTACCGGTGACACCATCGACGTGGACGCTAAGGTGTCGGATCGCGATTAATCAGAATGAAGAAATGAAAAATACAGATTAATGCCGCATGAATATAGTAATCAGTCGCGCTTTCGATAAATTCCGATCGCGGACGTGTGCGACAAAACGCTGCTCGCGCGCCCTTGGGCCAGTGGCGCGATTTCACTGCGCAAGTAGGCGCCACCGAGCGCCGTTCCCGGGGCGCGTTCCCTGAAATTGCTTGCGTGCATCAAGTTGCCGTTACCACACGAAAACATCGTTGCACCAACGCCCGCGGCGCCGTCGTTGAGACCCGTCGACGACACGCACTTCTCGATTGCGCGCGACGCCTCTTCGCTTGCCCAAGACGAGTCACGAATGTGCAACTGCACCGGCATGCCCTCGCGCAGATTCCACTTGGAGTGCGCGAGTTCGACGCCACCTGTGTCTCCGACGGCGAGAATGTCTCGACACACGTACGGTCCACCCTTTGCGTCGTTCGATCCGAGACCAAGCATCACGGGAAGCGATTTCGCGCGCGCCGGAAGCTGTTCCAGCGTCTCGAGCAATAACGGATGCGCCGGCGTGTCGTCCAACTCGAGCACCAATCCGTCTCTTGCGTTCGTCAAGTTCATCACCGGCCCAATCGGTTTCGCACCGTGAAGTACGTGCGCGTTCATTTCGAAGTCGCCTTGTACCAAAAGCGCAACCGCTTCGCGCCGAACGATGTCATCGTTCAGAAACATCACACTCCCCTCGTCCACGACGCCACCCACGGTGACGCTGTTCGGCATTGCCGTGTGCAGACGCTCCAACAGTTGATCCACGTTTTCGAATGACGCGTCCGCAAACGCGGTGACGGCGACTGTGTCCCCGCTCATAACGCTCCTACCAAGCTCCAACCACGACCCATCGCCGTCCAACGCCGGTAGAGATGACGTTTTTGCTCGAAATGTCCACGTCTTCGTCCCTGGCATTGACGCCGCCGTGAGCGTCACGCCCTCGCCCGTCACCCCCTCACCACCAACACTCGCTCGCACGACCGCGCCGACGAGCGCGACGTCTCCTCCAAGCAACTCCCTCACCCGCTTCCCCGCACCTTCCAGCGTCTTTTCGTCGTACGCGTCGCCCGAGACATATAACTGCGCCCAGGTCGCGCGACGCTCGGCGCCGAGCGCGTCCCGCACCGCCCTCGCGCACTCCCCCAACGCTCGCTCGAGCTCCGTCTCGCGCGACATCGCGGTCGCAAACGCGTACGACGTCGACGCGCGCGTCGTCCCGTCGCCCTTCGCGCGCGTCACCGCGTCGTCGTCGTCGCCGCGTCGCTCCGAGCGCTCGCCGCTGACGAGACGTGTCCCCGTCGACGAAACCGCTCGTGACCACGGCATCGCGCGGTCGCTTCGCGCGCCGCTTCGCGCGCGCGCGCTGTTCGCGAACGCGCGCCGAGCGAGCTCTCGCGCGCGGCGCATACTTGGCGACGCGCGACGCACTGCGGCGACGAAGTGAGCCATCGACGAAAAGTGTGTCCAGTTGCTTTTCGTCCCGAGGCCTCAAACGACGGCTCGTCGTCGACGCGCGCGCTCGCACGCAGCGATGGCGACCGCCGTGGGCAACGCGTCGACGACGGGCGCGGTGATGGATGGGAAACATGACAGCGTAGGCGACGAGGCGACGATCGCGACGCGTCGATCGATTCCCATGCGAGTGCTCGACGAGTACGAGTTCAGAGACAAGTTCGAGGAGACGCGGGTGGTATCGACGCACGGGAGCAAACCATCGATGGTGCTCGTGGTCGGGAAGGCGCGTAAGCTTGAGGGCGACGGAGAGGACGGGGATCCGAGAGAGCTCTTGGGACGCGCGCTGGTGCCGCGAGAGACGCCGCCGCACGCGTTAAAGCTGGTTGATGTGAACGATTGGACGATCAGGTACGGCGAGGACGAGCCAGAGATTTGGTTGGTGACGCCGAGGGCGTGGTACAAGCTCCTCGATCCGAGCCCGAGGTACGAGAAGTACGCGACGGTGATGCTGCGTCGAGCGCGTTTCACCAACGCCGTGGTCAAGGCGCTGATGAAGAATTGGAACATGGGCCTAGACGAGGGATTGGATCGCATACTGAGCGTTCCCGTGGTGAAACACGACGTGCCGATGGCGATTAAGACGCCGTCCAAGGCGGCTAGGCTGTTGGGTGACACCACGGCGGAGGCGCAAAAGCAAGCGGCTCTCAACGGGTTAAGTGAAGAGCAAGGCAATGAGCCCGAATTTTGCGCTTACACACACGCGGACATCGTTGGAGATGGATTCTTCATCGTTTCGCAGCTAGATTCGTTGTTGAAGGCCAAGGCGCTGCTTCCTCCGTCGGACGGCGATGAGGAGTCAAGTCCCATCTTCATTACAGAGCTGCAAACGTGGACGAGTGAGAAGCTTCAGTTTAGCATTGCTCCGAAAATGTCCAGATTAGAGCGTGATCGCGCCCGGCGTGAGCGCTTGCGGGTGGAGAAGCTCGCGGAGGACGGCATTAAGAATGAACCGCGCGATCCACGTCTGGAGCCTCCGCCACCGGCGTCGCACATTTTACCGGATTACGCGCACATCGGTCCGGCGTTACAGACCGAACTGCTCACGCTGTGGGATTTCGCCCAAGTTTTCGCCCAGGCGTTGCAGATACCACAATGTCCGTTAGAGCGCTTTGCTAAGGCTTTCTTCGGCACCGAACCAGGAGCCGCGGAGGCGGCGCTACTAAGAGATTTCATGGTTTCGTGTTTACGTCTCGTCGAAGGACGCATCGATTCCATCGATCACGAAACAGCTAAGGTGACACCATCGTGTGCGCGGTGGTGGGACGCGCCTATTTTGGGTATACACGATGTGGAAGAACTGGATTGGCAAGCTAGGGCCCACCATTATATCCTAGAGTTTCAGTCATCCATAAACGATCGCATGCGAGTACCTGCCATGGAGGCGGGCACGAGATTGGAGCAGGGTGAAGCGGTGGAGACATTAACGCCGGTGCAGCGAGTAGCTTTGGCCGTCGCATTGAGTAGCTCGGCATTGGAAAGTGAGTCGATGCGATTTTACTTCACTGAAGTGTTCGACCACGCACGGGAACGGCGCAAGGCGGGCGAATTCCATGCAAAGCCCCCAACACTTGTGACAGAGGTACCAAAACCGGCTGAGGCAAAGGAGAAGGACAATTCTCTGAAACATGATGGAACGAGCGACGTGGAAATGGATGAATTCATGGAGGATGAACCGGCAAAGCCGCTTTCACTCACTGAGCTGCGACGCGAGCAACTCATGCAGTTCAGGCGTGGAGCTGTGGATCGAGCAGTTCTGTCTCGTGGGAAGCCAGTCGCTGTAGACGAGCAGGGTAGACGGTACTTTGCGCTTGGAGGTTTGAACAATGCCGGTCGTCTCTTCGTACAAACTGCGCCACCTGGATGGCACGAAGATGAGGAAGCACCAGCCGTGGAGGACAACTCAGATAAGCAGCCCATGGCTGGCCCACCAGTCGACGATATTCCGTTCACTGTAGAAGCCATGCGCAATCCGACGAACTCCAGGGACGTTTCTGGATTGGTCGAGTACGCGTCGCGATGGGGTGTGTACAAACCGGGTTCGGAGCTCGATGCGTTAAGCTCTTGGTGCAACCCGGCATATGACAACGAGCGTTACATCACAAAACTTCATAGGTTAATCTCTTACTCGATCGACGGTGTTGAGTGCGACAGCGTCGAATTGGACGAGAAGACGCGACTGGAACGGATAGAAAACTTGTGCGCATCGATGTCCACGGACGGATACTCCAACCTTGATGACGTTGCATTGACGTCGTGCAACGATCGCACTTTGACGTTGAAACTCCTCCACGCCATTAAATTCGTGCTTCAATCCGCGCCGTTCTGGCGGACGGGTGACATGCGATGGATCGACCGTTTTCTGAAAGTCTCCGCATACATCGAAGGTTTACTCAGCGCTACTGACCCGTCTTTGATTGATATCTGCAAGATTTTGCCCGGTGTTGAGAGTGTGTGTGCAAATGCGGGATTGATGGACGAAGCCACGTGGCCCGAGGTGAAGCCCACTTGGTTGGCTCAGATACGATTTCACGTTCTAGGACGTAGAACTGAAGCTGAACTTGCCGGTACCGCGTCGACTACGGACGTTCCTGAGAACAGCATTCCAGGCATGTACGACATCAGCACGGCTCCAGAGCTCCTCGAGCCACTCGGTCCTTTGACGGTTCACCGCGCAGCCAACTTGGTGAACCAGTTCCTGAGATTCCTTGCACAAGACTCTAACCGTATGTCACAAGCGTCTTTCAAGCGGTACACTGGGTTGAACCATGGAGCGGCTGCGATTAATACCGGAGACGTCGTCGCGCTCATCAGGCGTGGGTTGTCCAAGACGTACGCCAGGTACATCGATAAAAAGTCCAGGCCAAGAACGTGGATCGACGTGAACACTTTGCGAGTAGTCGAGAGATGTGTCGTTGTCGGAGCTGCGTATAGAGGTACAGAAATCGCGCCAAAAAGTCAACATGCCGAGGATCGTCCTCCTTGCACGTGGCTTATGCTCCAGTTGCTGGATGGTCCAGAATCTTCATTGTTTCCGAGCACTCGTAGACAAAGCGCAGAGGGCACGGCGGCGCCCGAGGTCAAAGATACGCGCAGATTGGTTGTAGCACCTCTCATCGTCGGTGACATCGCTGACTATGTGCTCCCTTGGTCAAAGTACAACGAAGACAAAACGTGGCAAGTCGGACAACGCATCATGATGCAATTCGAAGGAATCGACGCCGAAGACGAAAGTCGGGGTATCATTCAGATCGATGGCAATTTTTACTATCTTGGTAGAGTTCGGAAGACGCGTTCGAGCCCGGACAAGTGGGAAACGGTGATGATAGTGTTCGATAGCGATCCGGAGGATCACATGTGGGTTTCACCTTGGGAAATCATCGAGGCGCCAGAGAAATACCACGATCCCGTGCACGAAGGTCCGGGACTCGTGGATGTTGAGAAATCACTCTCAGCGGAAGACATGTTGCAGATCGCGAAGTGCAAAGCGGTGTCGCGTCGTTTGGGTTGGCCAAAAGGTGAAAGCAAGAAAGAGTTTGACGATTTGCGCGCAAAAATTTTCGGAATCGACCCGCCTCGCGCACCGATTTTCTGCGGAGTACCCATGAACCTGCATCGCGTTTTCATCGAATCGATGCACTTGGGAGGGTACGAGCATGTCACGCGGCGCAAGCTGTGGAAAACAGTCGCTCGCACTCTCGGTCGGGATCTGACTTCGCAAACGAGCGCTTCTTTCGCCATGCGAAAGGCATACGAACGATGTTTGTATCCGATGGAAACTTCGTTGACGAGTGATGATATGTTCGGACAGCTCGGTCTCACCGTCGACAGTGATGCCAACATCGATCAGTTCCCGGGAAGTACTCCAGGTGCCAACTCCGATGACGACGACTACAACGACGATTCTGAATACCCTGTTTTGGACAACGAAGGCGACAAGCCGCGGGACGACGAGAATGAGATGCTAGACGATTCTATGGAAGTCGACACGGCAAAGGAGAAAAGTGCACATGCAGACGATTACAAAATGTCGGATGACGATTTCGATGAAGACGCGGACAGCGACGAAGGCGAATCTGACAGCGATTTCGCGCCTGGACGGAAGCCACGCCAGTAGATGCACTTTGTGAATATCTGTCAGAGTACATTAGAATCAAAACGACGCCGGCCACCAAATCGTGACCTCGGTCGCCCGCTCGTCTTCCAATACCTCATCGGCGATTTCTATCGTTTCCTCGAGCGTGTGCACGCTGTCTGCCAAGTAGACCGCGGCGTCCGCCAACGCGACAACCTCTCCAAGGAGCATGGTGGAAAACGGGAACAATCGCGCGTCACCGCTGGCGCACTCCACCGCGGCCTCCACACGTACAGCTTGATTCGCTTCGATCCGACACGCTTCGTCGACGCGCAAGCGAACGACGACGCGCGACGCGCCGGCATCGACGCGTCCGCACGCGCGTTCCACCTCCGTTCCATCCGCGCGCCACAGTCTCGCGCGCTCGATCTCGCACGTCCCGTCCTCCGTCGCTCCTCGAACGACGTGCTCGAAGCACACTTCGCCCGCGTTCGAGCGCACGCGCTCGACGCCGCATCGCTCGAACGTCGCGACGTCGACAAACCTTTCGCTCGCGTCTCTCTCTCGCGCGCCCTCGCGTCGCCCGTCCGACGCATCGACGCCACCGACGAGCGCCAGCGCCAGCGCTAACGCCGCGACGACGCGCCCGGGCGACGTCCGCGCGTCCGCGCGTCCGATCCGTCGCATTCGCGTCCGCCGTCGCGCGCCGTCGCCGTGTGCGCGCTCGCGAAATCCGAACCGTCGTTTTTTCATCCTCGACGCGGCGAACGCTGAAACTGAATCGTCGCGACATCGAACGAGCGACGGAATCGTCGACGGCAGCGCGCGACGCGATGACGCCCGCGCGCGCGCTCGATCGCACGACGTGGCCGCCGATGGTATCGCCCGCGTCGGCGAAACCGACGACGTACGAGCCCGCGTACGCGTTCGCTCGAGACGGATTCGCGAGCGGGACGAAGGAGCTCTCGGAAAAGTCGAGAGCGGCGGTGACGACGCCGGCGACGACGACGCGGGCGCGCGGCGTCGCGCGGGAACTGGACCCGGATGGTTGTTGGCGTGGAAGCCAGCGTGAATGGGAGGTGTCGGTGGATGCACGCGGACGCGTGGACGCGGCGAAGGGGCGAGCTGAAGGAATTGAGAGCGGGACGCGCGCGCGTCTAGACGCGCCGACGCGCGACGCGGATCTCGGGCGAGATGCGAGCGCAGTGGCGCTGGGATACTTGCCGTCGACGCAGCTGTCGCGGGATGTAGGGGCTTTCTGCCCGAGCGGAGGAGACATCGCGAGGGAGTGGCCGTCGCAGAGCGAGCGAGAGCAGCGCGCGATGTTCGATCGGCGAGCGATGGACGAGCGAATAAATCATTTGAGCGGATCCACGCCGACGCTCGAAGCGAGCGCACCGTCGGCGCTTCGCGCGCCATCGCATGACATTCTGCGTGCGTTCTATCCGTCGCAGGAGATGGCGGTGCCGAAGGAGAGAGAGGAGACTATTCCATCGATGGCATCGACGCGCATGCTCGAATCACGCGTGGCCCAACTCGAGTGCGATCAAGGCGTCTTGCACGATGAAGTAAACGGAGTGAAGCGCATTCTTTCGGACATCATGAGCACACAGGCGCATTTATTGTCTACCATGACGCAAACGCGCGCGCGAGACGCGACGGACGCGCGTTTTGAGCTCGTGCGACGGCGAGTCGTAAGCGAGCGCGCCGATTCCGGGCTGAGACGCAGACGCCACAGAGACAACGCCGGAAACTCGCCGAAACCTCGACGCGCGTGTCGCGACGACGAGCGAACCGCCGCCGTATCCGATGACGATGGATTCACCAATCTCGGCGCGTCGCAAGACGACGTCGAGGTCAGCGAATCACAACTCAAAAAAATCGTCCTCTCACGCATGCTCTCGCACCAGCGCGGCGTGAAGCGAACGAGCGTCAGCGATAGCGAGTGAAAACTCAGATCCGACCTCCCGCGACGCCACGCGACGACGATACGCATTTAACACACAGCTTAGATCGATGTTTACGACCGTTCATCGACTCCGTGTCGATCGCCCGTCGACCGGTCCTTTCGCAACCCGGTAGACGCGCGCTCGGACCTCATAACGTCACTTTCCGATGTCTCGCGGTGTGCTCGACGTCCGACGCGACGGCGCCGGCGCCGGCGGTCGCGTGTGTCCTCCTGAGGTCGCCAACAGCCTGAAGATCGCGTTCGCCCTCATCACGTGCGTTTTCGTCTTCGGATGTTTCTTCGTGCACGAGCTCATGGTTGGTGGATTCCACTTTGCCTTTCTCGCGTACCCTATGCTCGGATTCGCCTATCTCGCGCTGTGCGTGCCCTTGGGGGTGTGTTACGTGAACCACGACGACGTACGAAAGGACCTGAACGTGTTGAAACCTAACGATTACGTGTGGTTGTGTCGACGCGTGTACGGCGCATTCCTCGGGGCGAAAGACGGCAAGGTTCGAGGGAAAGATTTGTGAGTGAGAGTGATGCGAGGGCGAACGAGGCGCGATCGACAGCGCCCACGCGTGTCGCTCGCTTGATGTAAACTACGGAGAGTTTTTAATAGAATACAGGTCGAGACGCGTCTGTCCTCATCAGCGACGCATTAGCGAAAACTCGCGCTCGAGTACTTCTAGGAGTTCGGCGCACTTTTCGCCCTCACGCACGACGCCGTATCTACCGTCCGTCGAGCTCAAGTCCACTATCGTGCTCCCTAGGCGTTTAGTCTCGATGACGCCTCCGTCGAAGACCTCGGCGCACGCGTCCCAAAGCTCTGCGAACTCCTCCACCGACGTCGTGCTCGTCTCTCCCGATCTATTCGCGCTCGTGAGCGCGATCGCGGATCCGTGCGCTCGACACACCTCTCGCACAAAATCGCTCGCCGGGACCCTGATCCCGATCAGATCGACCCCTGGATTGAGCTCGCTCGACGCCCCTCCCTCCTCGCTCGCGCGACGTCTGAGCAAAACCGTCACCGGACCCGGTAAAATCCTCCCCAACAATCCCTCACGCAGGTGCGAGCACTCACCGTATCGCCCTATATCTCCCACGTCCCCCACCGCGATCGCCACCGCCACCGTCGCCTTCCTACCCTTGATTTCGTACAAACGCCGCACCGCCGCGCCGTCCTCCGCGCGCGCGGCGAATCCATAAATCGTATCCGTCGGCACCGCGATCACCCCACCTCTCCGCAGCGCCCCCACCGCGAGCGCCACCGCGTCCGCACGCGTCGTTCGCGTCGGCGCTCGACGCGTCTCGCCTGCGTCGCCATCACCGACCCCTCGCGCGCCGCGCTCGAGCCGCCGGGACATCCATCGTCGTCGTCCACCCTCTCGACGCGCTCGAGATCCCGCGCGCGCGTCCGTCGACGCGACGTCCGCGGCGCATCGACCGAGCGCTCGCGCGGCGACCGTCAGACGCATCGTCGCCGGCGTCGTCGCGCGATGGCGCGGGCGACGGCGCGCGCGCGATGGGTGGCCATTCGACCGGTCATGACTCGTCGATGGGGAGACTCCAGACCCAGGCCTCGAGGGGAACGCGCGCGCGTCGCCCCGGCATCGCGCGACGCGACCGCTCGCCGCGCGCGATGTTCCGCGAGTGGGCGAATAAAATTTACGGCGCCTCGAACGCGCCGTCGAGCGCGCCGAACGCGCGCGCGCGCGGACGAGACGGCGGAAAGACGAACGACGGGAAATCGACATCCGCGTCAGCAACGGTGGAACCGAGAACGTTCGCCGACCGGTGGATGATGTCGTGGACGGACGACGACGTGACGTTTCTGGGAGAAGATCCCTACGGTGATTGCGCCGGGAACATCTTCGCGCAAGCGGCGGTGGAGAGTCGCCGACGGAGCGAAGACGCGGGGAGCGCGCCGAGGAACAGCGTGGACGAGGGCGACCGGAGACGTTCGTCGAGCGGCGCGAGCGACGCCGAGGAGAAGGCGCGCGCGTTCTTTCGAATCGGACCGATGTGAACGAACGCGTGACGACGCGATCGAAACGTCGCGTCGATGTTGACGACGAAGCGCCGAACGATCGGCGTCGAACGCGTCCGCGTCCCGGAGCCTCGGGCGCGCTGTTGTACCTGTAAAAAGAGAAACCTTCATTTTCCGGCACCGGTGGCGCCACAGATCGACGTGCGTCGCTCGCGCGGGTCGGCGCGCGTGGACGCGATGGGCGAACGCGCGAACGCGTCGTGAATCGAGCGGAATCGAGCGCGTCGTGAGAGGGATGAGACGATCGTCCGGGACGCGCGCGTGGACGCCGTTCGTCCTTCTCTGCGCGCTCGTCGCGCGCGCGAACGCGAACGTCGTCGATTCCGATAGTATGCACACCGTGTTCTCCACCGAGTGCAACGATTACTTCGATTGGCAATCTCTCGGGTTGTACGACTCGTGGAGACAGGTCGGGCAGCGGGGGAAGTTTACACGCTTGTTGGCGTGCGACGAGTCGGATAAAAAGTCGCTGGCGAAGAGCGTATCGGTGGTCCCGGACACGCACGTGCACCCGAATTATCGCGTGCACCCGGAGACGAAGGACGCGTACTCGGCATACAATAAGCCGTACAGTCTGTATCACTGGACGACGCACGCGAACGTCACGGCTGACTTCCTCATCGTGCTCGATGCAGATATGATTTTCCGAGCGCCGATGACGGTGGAACTCTTGGGAGTCAAACGCGGATCGCCGGTATCGGCAAGATATTCGTATCTCAAGGGTACGCTCCCCGAGAATCACATGGGGGTGAAGGCGAGGGTGAGGAACGTGGAGAAGACGCAGCAAGTCGGCGGGTTCACAGTTATGCATAGAGAGGACATGACCAAGCTCGCACCGCGGTGGCTGTACTGGACCGAGCAAGTGCGGCAGGATCCAGACTCTTGGGCGAATACAGGTGATATATATAATGATAACGGGAAACTCGGACCGCCGTGGATTTCAGAAATGTACGGTTACGTCTTCGCTGCGGCGGAGCTGGGTGTGGAATTTCAAGTCCACGACGATTTCATGCTCTATCCGGGATACTATCCGCCCATGGACGATCGTTTCCCTGTGGTTCTTCACTACGGTTTGACGTTTCACGTGATGGACTGGGCGTTCGCCAAGTATTGGTTCCACAGTAAGGCGGTTGAGTGTCCAATGAAGCTTTTTCAGCGACCGCCTCCTGAGAGCGCGTTGAAGAGTCGAGGTATGAAGCGCCGTCGCGATCTGACAGCATTAACGTGTGCGTGGGGACTTTACAATGCCACGAGGAATTACGCGATCGAGGTGTGCGGCGAAAAAGATCCAAAGGACGAGCCCAAAATCGTGTACAAGTGTTTGACTCGCGAGAAGACGAAGGTTGTCGAGTGCCATCAAAAAGGCGACGACGAAGACGATGTAGATGACACCTTTCGCGGACAACGTGTCGAGAAGTGTGAGGACAAGAACGAAGCTTGCTGTGGGTGGGCGAAGAGTGGGGAGTGCATGAAGAATCCGGGCTACATGGAGGAGTATTGCGCGCTATCCTGCGACGTGTGCGAGAGCGCTCGATGCGCATCAAAGTGTTGCCCTACGAACGAACGTGATGAATCGCGCGGCGAAGTCGTAGAGAGCAAACGTCAGATCACGGCGGCGACTGTCAAGAACGAAGAGCGCGTGGTAAATGAGAAAATGGAGGAAGAACCAGTGGAGGAAGAACCAGTGGAAGGAACAATCGAACACGAGGAAGAGAGGGGTGAGACGGGGCGAGTGGCGACGGCAACGATAGCGACACACGACTTACCAGACGTTGCTGATGAGATTCTAGTAAACGATAGCTTAGGCAACGACGAGAGGTTCGAGTGGTACAGCTCTTGGCGCAGCGTGTTCGCCATCGCTGCCGTGTTGATCATCATTAGAGTACGTCTAGCACAGAGACGACGCGCTAAGCGTAGAAGTAGAAATTACGTACGAGTTGTGCACCGTTAATATGAAATGATTTCAACACCGGCGGTAATGCTAACTAGACGTACACCAATTTTGTTTCGCGTTCGAGCAATGCCCACAATCTGGCCTGGTCGGCGTCGCCCGGCGCGCTCGAGCGTTTCATCGGGGCTGCCCCGACGAAGTAACAGCCGTTGAAATCCACCGAATTTTTCTCTATGTCCGAAACCATGATATCAAACTGATCGTTGGCCTCGAATATCTCGATACCGCATCGGCCCCATCCGGCCAGGAGCATTTTTGTGTTAACGGTGCCTGGATCGCAGCTGAAGACGTTCAGATTATCCACCGTCGCGTCGCCATTGCACAGCTTCCCAGCCGCAAGCCTGTCAAAGAGCTCGTAGGAAAACGCCTTCATGCACGCCTTGCTGAGCGAATAACTTCCATGCGCCGAGAACATCTTTTCCGCGTTGATGTTCTCGAAGTCGATCCTAGGCGACGCCGAAATCGATGCCACGTTCAGAACGCTAGATTTTCTTCCGCTCTCCCTCGCTCGTTTCACGAGGTCACCCATCAACAACCCAGTGAGAACGTACGGCGCGACGACGTTCACCGCGAACGTCATCTCTCGCCCGTCCACCGTCTCGACGTACGCACCCTTCATGAAAACGCCCGCGTTGTTGTACAACGCCTCCAATCCGCCGCCGCTCTCCACCGTCTCGCGCACGAGACCCGCGAGCGCGCGAGCGCCACTGACCGTGGCCAAATCGCTGACCACCCCTCGTACCATCGCCCCCGACCCCTTTTGCGCCGCCAGCGCTTCGAGCTCGCGCACGACGTCGTCGACCTTCGCATCGTCTCGTCCGTGGGCGACGACCGATTTCCCGCACTCGACGAGCCTGCGCGCGGTGTGTCGTCCGATCCCGTCCGTGGCGCCGGTTATGAGGGAGAACCCAGACGACACGGACGCCATCGCGCTCGACGAACGCGTGCGTGGGAACCGAGCGTCGCGCGTTGGCGTCATGAGAAACAGGACACCGTGCGTCGCCACGTCACTCACGCCCACGCGTCATGTCCGCCGCACGCCGCGTCGACGCGGTGGCGAACCACCTGCACGCCGCCGCGAGCGTCAACGCGGTCGATGCCGCGGCGTACGCGAGCGATCTGCGAGCGATGAAGATGGACATCGAACGGTTTCTCGATGAATCGAACGCCAACCCGATCATGGTTCGCTTGGCTTGGCACGACGCCGGCACGTACGACGCGTCGAAGGCGCACATGCCGTGGCCGCGCGCGCAAGGGGCGAACGGGTCGATTCGTCACGAATCCGAGCTCGCGCACGGCGCGAATGCGGGTCTGGTGAAGGCGATCGGGTACTTGCGACCGCTCAAGGAGAAGTACGCGCGCGTGAGCTGGGCGGACGCGATACAACTCGCGGGCGCGACCGCGATCGAGCACGCGGGTGGGCCGAGGATACCGATGCGGTACGGTCGGGCAGACGCGGAGGTTGGGGCGATGGAAGGGAATCTGCCAGACGCGGAGGCGCCGTTCGGGGACGGGGCGAGCGACGCGGCGACGCACTTGCGAAACGTGTTCGGTCGCATGGGATTCAACGATAGGGAAATTGTGGCGCTGAGCGGTGCGCACACGATCGGGAGGGCGTTTAAGGAACGTTCTGGGACGACGAATCACGGGTACGGGGCGAAGAACGGGACGAAGTTCACGGGCTGCCCGTACATGAACGCGCGCGCAGACGGCAAGGAGGGAAGTATCGGAATGCCCGGCGGCGCCTCGTGGACGAGAAGGTGGCTCGCGTTCGATAACAGCTACTTTCATCGCGAAAAGCTCACCGATGAAAAGGATTTGATTTGGCTGAGCACGGATGATGCGTTGGTAACCGACCCGGGATTCGCTCCGCACTTCAAGCGCTATGCGCACGATCAAAACGCTTTTTTTTACGATTTCTCAGCTGCCTTCGCCAAGTTATCCGAGCTCGGTAGTCGTTTCGTCGTCGGTGCCTCGGGTATCGTCTTGTAATCGAATGTTCGGATTCTTTTGATTTCTTTGCTTTAATTACAAGACTTCTAAATCGCTCACCTGTCGGCGTTGTGCGCTCAACGCGCTGCTTCGCCAGTCGTTTTTTGCGAATTCACTATTTCCCAACTCACAGCTGAAGGATGAATTTCCAGATCCCAGTGTCCGCGTTGTACTCCACGAGTTCTGCGCCAGCCTTTTCAGTCTGCTTGGCAATCTTTTCACGGTACTTTTCCTTCGCGTCCGCACCCGACTTCTTCGGCAAGATGCCGTAGAGAGTGACCTCAGCTCGCTTCTTCAAGCCTTGACCCTCCTCGGGAGGCTCGATGTCCTGATCTTCGGGATACAGACACAGGCATGCTTGTTCGAAAGAGACGATTTTGTCGAGATCTAGCCCGCGCACATCCACGGGCTCGAGCCATTTGACGCGACCGTAGGCTTCATTCGACACAGAAAAGTTATCGATTGCGGCAAGCGCGGCGTCGCCGTTTCGCTCAAACATCCTCTCCATTTGCTCAACAGTCGGATTCATGCTGTACCCCTTTCCGGTGAGCTTCGGCATGATCGCATCGATGGCATTCGCGCCACTTTTCTTCGGCGTGTTCTCCTTGTCATCCGCGAAGTGCACTTGTCTGTTCTCGGGGCTGTGAGCTTCGCGCTGCGGAGAAACCGCCAAGGCAACAGATGGAGCGGGCAAGGGCGAGGCGCCTTCCGGTCGAATGAAGAGAGCTCGAGGATTCTCACGAGGCTTGAAAAGCCATCCACCGCTCGATGGAGTCGCAACGGAAACTGAGCTTCCGGGTCTCACCGCTGAAGTGGGCGTGCTGACAGCTTTCACGGCACTCGTTGGAGTCAAAGCCGAGACGCTGCCACGAGGCTTCGGATCCCTGCTCAAGCCTCCTCGGCTCGTGAGCCACGGAGATCGCGGCGTGAGAGATCGAACGGGAAACGCGGTGGCGGCAGCACCGGCTGACGGACTCTGCATCGTGCCGAGAAGCGATCTCTTTGCCGGCAGCTGCTCGGTGGTCGCCAACTGAAGCGACGGCGGTTGAAGGGGAGAGCCGTACGGCGTCGTCGCCACAGCTGGCTGACCGCCGAGAGAAACGAGAGCGCCTGCGTTCGGTTGCGTGGCACCTAAACCGCCGCCAAAAATACTACCCCCAGCTGCGGGTGCAGAAGCGCCGAACAGGCCACCACCCGCCGCGGGAGCGGAGGCGCCAAAAAGTCCGCCACCTGTCGACGGAGCGGTCGCACCAAATAGACTACCGCCCGCCGCGGGCGCGGAAGCGCCAAAAAGTCCTCCAGCAGGCGCAGCGCCGGTCGAAGGTGCAGATCCGAACAACCCTCCGGTCGCTGGCTTCGGTGCACCGAACAAACCACCACCAGATGTGGGTGCGGAGGCGCCAAACAAGCCGCCGCCCGTCGCCGTCGTCTGAGCGGCGCCGAAGAGTCCACCAGACGGAGCAGAAGCCGCGGTGGAAGCACCGAAGAGACCGCCAGAGGCCGCAGAAGATTGACCAAACGCGGGCGTGGCATTAGCCGCGCCAAAACCGCCGAACGCGGGCGTGGCTGCGCCTGGAGCTGCTCCAAACAATCCGCCCGCACCCGTGGACGGCGACGAGGCGCCGAATAAACCACCCGCGCCCGTGGACGGCGTTGCAGTGGATCCAAACAGACCACCGCCCGCAGCGGGAGCGGCGCCAAATCCAGGAGTGGTCCCCCCCAAGCTAGGTGTCGTCGCGGGAGCCCCGAACAAACCTCCGCCTGTTGCCGGAGTAGCTGGCGCTCCGAACAAACCGCCGGCGGGCTTGGGCGCGCCAAAACCGCCTAAAGCGGGCGTCGAAGCTCCGAATCCGGACGTCGCTGGCGCCGACGAACCGAACAGGCCACCTCCCGAAGCAGGCGCCGACGAACCGAACAAGCCACCACTGGCAGAGGACGCGGGCGCACCGAACGGACTCGCAGCCGGAGTAGCCCCAAAGGCGCCTGGCGTCTGCGCTGCGCCGAACGGACTCGGAGCGGGAGTGGCTCCAAAAGCGCCAAGCGTCGACGTTGGTGCGGCACCAAATGCGCTCGGTGTCGGCGCAGCACCAAACGCGTTCGGCGCGGCGCCGAAAGCGCTCGGCGTCGATGCCGCCGGGGCGCCGAACGGACTTGCTGCCGCAGCCGGAGCGCCAAACGCGCTCGAAGCCGGTGCAGCGCCGAAAGCGCTCGGCGTTGCGGGGGCACCGAACACGCTCGGCGTCGAGGCGCCTGCACCGAACCCACCGGGCGTCGAAGATCCGGCACCGAACAACCCTCCACCTGTGGCGGTTGAAGCTGGCGCGCCGAACGCGCTCGGCGTCGCCGACGCCCCCCCGAACGGACTCGCCGACGCCGCTGACGCCCCGAAACCACCGCCCGCTGACGCACCGAATCCACCGGTCGTAGACGCCCCACCGAAAGCGCTCGGCGTGGATGCACCGCCGAAAGCGTTCGGCGTCGCTCCGAAGGCACCCCCGGTCGCCGGCGCGCCAAACGGCGACGCTGCGCTCGGGCTCGCCCCGAACCCAGTCGAACTCGGCGCCCCGAATCCACTCGACGCCGGCGCACCAAACGCTCCAGTCGACGCTGGCGCCCCGAACGCCCCCGGTGCGGGCGACCCGCCGAACCCGCTCGTCGCTGGCTGATCGGCGTTCGCGTACGCCTCGGCTCGAATCTCCTCCGCGCTCTTCGCCAAATTCTCCGGCATCGCGCTGATCGAGTGCACCATCGCGTACGTCGTCCCCGGCGTCAACAATTCCTTATCCACGACTCGCGTCGCGCGATACCCCGTCGCCCCAGGGGTCATCGAACAGCTCACCGCCCGATGCGCCGTCGATCCGCACTTGGAGCACACGTGCTTGTTGTTACACCGCGCGCCAAACTTACAGCTCCCTTTGTTCCAAAACTTACACGCATTCGCCACCGGACTCGCGCTCTGCGTCGACTGCGACCCACCGAACGCGCTGGACCCACCGGCGCCGAATCCACCGCCCGCCGTCCCGAATCCACCGCTCGCGCCCGCGTGCGAGGCCTGTTGTCCCCCGAACGCCGACGTCGGCGCGCCGCCACCGAACGGGGACGGGGTCTGTTGTCCACCGAACCCCCCGAACCCACCGAACGCCATCGCGCGCGCCGGGCGAGGCGGGGTCTGCGCGCGCGCGCCGGGCGATCGATCGTCGCCGCACGGCGTGGCGAACCCTAAACCCTACACGCGCGCATCGGTTCACCCAACCTCCGAGGTGATGGAGATTTGCGTCCCTTCCATCGGTGGTGAAGGTGATTCAAATCACCTCGTGGTGCTCGAGGCTGAAAGGGAGATTGCTAAAATTCTATACAACTGTAATTTTGTGATGGTGATGCACATCGTACCCGACCGAGACGCGACGCCGTCGACGCGACCGCCACGTCAGCGCCGCACGTCGACGCCCGCGACGACGCGCGCGATCGTCCAGCGATGCCCGGGCGCGTGGGGAAGTTTCTGTGCGTCGTCCCGCCGAAGACGCTCCGCGTGGACGTCGAGAGCGGACGCGCGACGCGCTCGGGGCCGGTGGATGGGTTGGAGGAGGCGCTCGACGCGCTCGAGTTTAAAACGTCGAGGAGCACGCTGGACGGCGGTGGCGTCGCGATCGGCGTCGGGCCGGGAATTCAGGCGTTCACGGATAATGAATTGATCGTCTCGTTCGTCGGACACCTCACGAATGTGGATTATTTGGCGTGGAGGTTGTTCTCGGACGAAGGGCGGAGGGGGGAGAGGGCGCCGAGCGCGCTCGAGGCGGCGCGACAGCTCGTGGGCGGGCGGTGCTTTGAGGCCGAGCTCGTGTGTCACCTGTATAAGACGTTCGGGACGAAGGCTCTTCCCAAGCTCAGGGGGAAGTTTGCGTTCGTGGTGTTCGATTCGAAGAGCGTGCGGGTGTTCGCGGCGAGAGACGCGAGCGGAGAGTACGATTTAAAGTACGCTCGAGACGACGACGGCACCGTCGTTGTGGCGAATTTTTCGGGGGCGAATGAGATGCTGCCGAGTCGTCGAGATCTCTCGGAGATTCCGCCGGGATGCTACGTTTACGGGCATCGAAATATGGTCCCCAGCCGCTTCGCAAAGACGCTAGCCGAAAAGAGCTCGGAGCTCGCCGCGGCGGCTGCAGCGGCCACGCGCGCGCTCCGCGGCCTCAACGTGAAGTCTCGCCGACCTCTCGACGTTCGACGCATATCTAGCGATCACTATGAACACGAAGACGTGCTGTGCGACGACAGAAAGCGCGCGCTTGAAGATTTGGATGGTGGGCACGAGTACGAGTCACACGAGAGGGCGAACGAGGAAGAGGACATCGAACCGGGGACAGAGGAGGATCACAGGACAGCAGAGGTCGTGGCTCTCAAGACTGCTAGCGCGGCGATCAAACGCATCGCGAGCGGTTACAACATGTCCGGTATGGTTCGCATGGACGGTGTCAACGCACTCGCCGCCGTCGGCATGGCGGACTCTGGAAATCTGGACGGTTTCCAACTCGATCGCGTACCTAGTCGTACTGGTTTGTTGAGCGACATGGTCAAGGTTGCCTCATTCGGCGATCTCAACAAAGAGTACGCTAGAAAGGGGAGCATCAGTGATTTGATGCACGCGGGTGTGTCGTCGCCGAAGAAGAGCGGTTTGGACAAACCAGACCGCCGCGCTTCTTGGACCGATCTCACCGTTCTCGTGGCTTCGGGCGAAACCCGACAGGCAAACAGTGATGAATGAGCACCCAATCTTTTTGAATGTCACACCTTAATACACCTAATACGTACTACCGCAAGAGTTGTAATCTAGAGCTCCATTTCATAATTTCAGCTAGCAGTTGACGTGAGTCACCCCGATGAAGGACACGCTGCCAGAGTTCGTCACCTCCTCAGATCCGTGTCGGTCGTGGTTGACTATCATTCCCGTCGCTTCCTTCTCACAATCGATCACCACAGTACCGTCTTTCGATACGACCTCGAGCATTTTGCCGAGTGGGTGTAATCCAATATTACCCGCCCCGGTGTAAGAACCACTACTGATTTGAACCCGATCGCGATTAACGTAATACCCGAAGCCTTTGTTGACGGGAATTTTCGAGGCGCTACCGAACTTCATCGTGCGAAACTCTGAACTACCTCTGATGCCCGTTTTGAGATCGCCCAACTCGTAAGACAATGCGTAGGATCTTGCTTCGCCGAGTGCGGCCTCGAAGGAACGCTGCAGCGTCAGATACGGTTTGTTTGGTGTGCCGTCGCCGTAAGTGTCAGAGCCCGACTTAGAAACGTAGATGTCACAGAACAGGAACTTCGCGGACGAATCATCGCTATACGTCTCTCCATTGTCCACGCTGACTGTAATTGTCTTTTCGAAGCACGGACGAAACGTTCCAGCTACTTCACCGCCAGAACGCGGATCGTGAGCTTTGGTAATACACCGCACGCGCTGCACACTATCGAACTGAGCGTCAAGAATCATGTCTCCTGTGCCCGTGACAGAGTCGTGCAACTTACACTTCATTCTGTCCGATGGAAAGAAGCCTTGTCCATGTATAGTTATTTCCGTGTTACCGTAGAAGGGTCCCCGTGCGGCATACGTGGTCTCTTCGTGCGTCGTCGTTGCGGAGACCACATTTGGTTTGCCTCCGTACACTCGGATGAGCCATCGATCGCCGTCGACGTGATGCGTCCCGGATGATGTGAAGCGGATCCTTATGCCTTGACTTAGTAGACCACCCGGCGATCCCGACAAAGCGACTGGAATCGCGCGACCAGTTTCTATCCAGGCGACGTTCGATCCGATTGCGCTGTGTAATCTCCATCTAAAAGTTTCGCTTCCAGACGTGGCGCCGTCGATGACGACTTCATACCACGCGACACCACCGCCCGTGTAAGTACCCTCTACGACCAAATCGTTCCTATTTCCCGAGCCTGTCGTCAATCCTGCCTCTGTTGTGTGCGTAGTGACCGCGTTGGCGTAATTTGTCTTCATGGTACTATCTATCGTACCATCGTCCGCATAGATTGGGCTCACTGAGTGCTTCGACGACGTAAGTGTCAGTGCGATTCCTGCTTTGTACGACGCGGCGTTGGCCGAACCATCGTAATAAATTGGAACGTCGCAAAACGTGGTGTTGTCAAAGTACGTGAACGTCGTTCCCGAGCCGCTATCAGCCGGCGGGGCTCCGTCCGCGCCACCACTTCCCCCGTGGTATGTCACGCCGTCGTTGGAGACGTACACCGTCACCTGCTTTCCGCCGTGATCGTTCGAGTCGTCCTGACTACTCACCCACGGTGGTGTAACACATTGTATTTCGTTATAATACAGCCACTCCGCCTTAACCGTGTTTGCTTTCGAAGCGCCAGTTTCGAAATCTGACGACGACGCGTCGATAAGAACAATCATCCCACCCATGAAAGACGCTGTCGTGCTGTGATAATACACATAATCTGGCATGGAGGATGTCGGCGTGAAGTACACCGAACCGTTATCTGTCGGGTCGGTGAGTTTATTCTCGTAACTTTTCTCCCAGTTCGATGGCTCGACAGTGGAGATGTAAAACGGAAAGTTCGCTACCGACGAATCCAACGTGAATGTGTACGTGGTGTCCCTCTTCAGAATGAACGACGGACCCTCCGTCACGGCACCATCGTTCAATCGGGCGCTCTTCACCGTGTAGCCCACTTCACCACTTCCACGTCCGAACCATGGGTGCTTCGCCGTCTTCGTCATCGTCCCGATTGTGAACGTTGCCGTCGCCGACGCGTCCACAGGATCTCCAAATCGACATCGTAAATGCGGACCCGGCAAGAAATTCCCATCGGAATTACGAATCTTTACCACCGCACCACCACGCGAGTGCCCTGTCGCGTTCTGAATCACCCACGTCCCAGTGGGATTCGTGTTCGAGTACTCAAACTTCAAGTACGTCCCCTCGTGCGCTTCGTTCAGCGGCGTCGTCGACCATCCCACTCCGTTGTTCGACACCGTCACGTGCGTCGAACCGAGCACTCCCCTCGGCGGCGTCACCACCTTAATCGTCCCGAAATCTACGTACGTCGCCTTCACCACGTCGATCTCCGAGGTCATCGTCGACGAGTCGTAATACGCGAAGCGCGCGCTCAGGCCCGCTTCGTTCGCGAACCCCCCGCCTCGGATCGTCACCTCCGTCCCGCCCACGACGTGTCCAAGGTTCGGCGTTATCGACGTCAGGTACGGCGGGGCGACGTAACGCGGGAGCCGATAGCCCGCGACGCATCGGAGCGTCGACAACGCGATGACGAATGCGCAGAGCCGCGGGACGCGACGCGCAACGGTCGAGGACGTGTCGCGCGCTCGTCGGCGATGCGTCGATGCGCGCGCGTCGACGCGAGCGCGCATGCCGCGAGTGTGCGAAGTGCGCGCGCGCACGAGGTACGAGTGGCGACACAGCGAGGTATGACGCGCGAGGAGGGTGAAGATGGGAGGACGCGCGCGCGGTGACTCGAACGGAGTCTCAGAGCGCGCGGATTCAAGGTCATCTATGCGTGGAGTACTTTGTTTCAACGATTGTCTACTTGGACGGGGAGACGTTTTGACGGAGTACCTTGAGTGGGGACGTCATCACCGCGTCGTGCGTGTTGTAGGCGACGCTCTTGCGCACGGCTATGGCCTCCTCGGACGTGTACTCGCTGAGCTGACCGCTCGCGGCGAGGATGAGTCCCATGAACGGTGGCGATGGCCTACCGGGACGAGATTTGAACTCCGGGTGGTACTGACAACCGACCATGAAAGGGTGACCGTCGACTTCGCACACTTCCATTCGCGTCTCGGAGTCGTCCTTGCCGACAAACTTCAAGCCAGCCGCCTCGAGCTGCGGGACCATGTCCGGATTCACCTCGTATCTATGACGATGGCGCTCGTCGACGTACGGCACACCCCCGTACAGACGCGCGGCAATGCAATCTTGGGTTTGGAAGATGGTTCTTCGCGAGCCCAGACGCATTGTGCCGCCCATGTGTGTTTTGCTACCTTCAGGCATGAAGATAACCGCCGGATTCTTCGTCTCAGGTTCCATCTCCGTCGAGTGCGCGTCGGACAAGCCGAGGACGTTACGCGCAAACTCGATCACCATACTCTGCATGCCGAGGCAAATGCCCAAGTACGGTACCTTGTTTTCCCGTGCGTACCGCGCCGCAAGCATCTTGCCCTCGACGCCTCGCCCGCCAAAACCGCCCGGAACTAAGATACCTTCCGCCGCCTTCACGCTGGCCCACGCCGCGTCGTACTTAGCGACGTCTTCGCTTTTCGTTTCATCCTCCAAATCGCTCGCTTCGATCCACAGCAAGTTGAGCTTGCGATCGCATGCGATGGTGCTGTGCAGCAAAGCTTTGGTGACGGACAAGTACGAGTCACCTAAACCAGTGTACTTACCCACGAGGGCGATGGTCACCGGCGTGTCGATGACGTCCCACTTGTTCGCGCGGTACGCCCATTGCTCGAGATCGGGTTCCTTGAACGGAATCTTGAGCTGGTTCATGATGCTCTCGAGCGCGTGTTGCTCGTGCATCACGAGCGGCACGTGCCAGATGTTGCTCACGTCGCACAAGTTTATGATACACTTTGGGTTCACGTGGCAGAAGAGCGCGAGCTTATCCATGACGCTCTGCTCCAGCGGAAGCTTGGATCGACACGCGAGCAAGTGCGGGGAGAGACCGGCGGAGCGAAGCGCTTGCACCGAGTGTTGCGTCGGCTTGGTCTTTTGCTCTCCCACGGCGCCAACCACGGGCACGAGCGAGACGTGAATCAAGCAAAAGTTATCACTTCCGACGCGGAACTGAAATTGCCGCAAAGCCTCTATGAAAGGCATCGACTCGATATCACCCACCGTACCACCGAGCTCGATCACGCACACGTCCGGGACGCCGTCGGTCCCGTCCACCGGCACGTGCGCCACGCGCTCAATCCAATCCTGAATCTCATCCGTGATGTGCGGCACCACCTGCACCGTCTTCCCCAGATACTTCCCCTCGCGTTCCTTCGAGATCACGCTCTGTCATCATCGCACCACCGCATCGTCAGTGATCCGTGCAGCATCAACCGAGTCCGTCGCGTCTCGCGCGCGTTCGCGTCTGTTTTTTTTGAAATCGCCATCTCTCCAACCCCCCGCGCTCGCACCTGATACACCTTCCCCGTGGTGATGTTGTGATCCCTCGTCAACGACACGTCGACGAACCGCTCGTAGTTCCCGAGATCCAGATCGCTCTCTCCGCCGTCGTCCAACACGTACGTCTCGCCGTGTTCGAACGGGGACATCGTGCCGGCGTCGATGTTAATGTACGGGTCGATCTTCACGCTCGTCACCCGCAGACCGCTCGCCCGGAGCAACACCCCGACGCTGGACGCGGTGACGCCCTTTCCCAGGCCGGAGACGACGCCACCGCTGACGACGACGTACTTCATCGCGGTCGCGTTCGAGTGCGGCGCGGCCGCCGCGCGGGCGACCACCCGATGGGGGTCACGTTCCAGTCGCGACTCGTCGACACTCGATGAGGGTCACGCACGAGTGGTGACTCGTCGACACTCGATGGGGGTCACGCACGAGTGGTGACTCGTCGACACTCGATGGGGGTCACGCACGAGTGATGACTCGACGCGTGCGCACACACGAGACATCATCACGACATCATCGCGCGGACGACGCACGCGACGCGCGAGATTCCCGCGCGGGTGATCCCGCGGTCGCCCGCGTCGCCGTCGCGACCGCGCGGCGCGGGCGAGTCGCTGGCGAGGCGCGCGCGCGCGCGTCGACGCGGGCGCGCTCGACCATGGATGCGGTCGACGGGCGCGCTGGAGGGGAACGCGATGCGCGCGCGGACAAAGCCGAGGCGACGACGGCGCGCGTCGATGGGTCCGCGTCCACGGAGGCCCCGCTCGAGCGCGCGTTCGGGGCGTTCTCGTTGGGCGCGAGTCGCACGAGCGCGGGCGGGCGCGGGGGGGGGGGGAGACGAAGTTTTCGACAGCGAGCGACGGCGCGGGGCGCGCGCGCGGAGAGCTCGAGCGATGGGAAGGGGACGGCGAGTGAGGGCGTTGAGGCGCGGCGGGTGATGTGGGGGGCGTTCGCGGAGCGCATGAATCGCGAGCAGACGAGTCCTGTGAAGACGTTCGAGTTGAACGCGATGCCGGAGAAGCGGAGTTCGCGGAGGACGCCGAGCGCGAGCTCGACGGATGGAGAGAGGGAGCGACCGAGCGTCGCGCGCTCGATCGAGCGTGAGTTATTGGAAGATATGAATGGTGAGAGCGCTTCGGCGCCGGAGATCGTGACCTCGCCCGAACCCATGGCGGTGGACTCTCCGGGCGAGGACTCGGATGCGAGCGAATCGATGCGCGTGACGCCGCCGCCTTCAAAGTTTAGTATGGGCGCGAGCGGGGCGAGTGGCTCGGGGACTAGGAAGAGTGCGTCTTTTAGAAGTAACGCATCGCCTCTACGCGTGGAAATACGGACGGAGTCGACGGAGGCGGAGACACCGGCGTCGACGAAGAGCGAAGAGTTCACCTTGAGGGCATCTCCCACATCACCCGTCGTGAGTCCAGCAGAGGCAAAGAAGTTTACGTTCAACGCGCCGCCGTCGAAGAGTCCGTCGGTGATGAGGAAGGTACGGTCGCCTGATGCATCGAATGAAGCCGGTGGGATTTTCAAGATGGGAACAGATGGTGTGCAGCCCACGCCCAAGCCTCGTAGTAACAATAGGTACGCGCAACGCGCTGGAAGTATCAGACGCACCGTGAGCGGTGGAACGCCGACCACACCCACCGTCTCCGAGGTTGAGGAATTGACGTCAAAGATAACGCTCGATAAAT